TTTAGATTAACAATATATATTTTTTAATTTTTTTGATATTGTTTATTTTAAGATTAATAAAATTTTAAAATATTCAAATTCTTTGAAATCTTCATCCATGCCCTTTTTCAAATGTATAGCAATATTATGAAACAATCGTCAAAAACCATGTTAGGGCCATTTGTGTCTTGACCCCACCCCCTGATCCCTACCCTTCTAAACCAGAGGGTGACAGTGCGGGATCGCGGCCAGATGTTGCGTATGTCGTTCACATGGGAGTGGCGTCAATACGTGTCATAATTACGGAATCAAAGCAACCACGAGAAAAAACACCAACTCCCACAAGAAACAACAACAAAGGCTGGATAATTTAAAACCATTCATATCCATATGCTTTCTCCAAAAGTCATAACTACAATATCCAGAATGTTACAATTCATCCAAGGCACCAAAGCCTATTAACAAAATTTTAAAGCTTCACAAACAGTACAGTACGACCGACGGCCAGCTGACACCTAAAAAAATGAGGAGATCTCCTAGTCTAACGCGGGCCTTCCGTCCACCAAACACGATCACCGCCCACCTGTATTCGACCTGCAGCCGCTAATCTACAAGGGTGGAAGAAAATGAATGAGCTAAAAAGCCCAGTAAGTAGATCACAGTATCATGCTTCCCTGCCGATGAATATTATTACACATCACAAATCAAGGTTCTAAGCCATGCTGATAAAACATAAGTCATGCATCACAATTATGTCACAATTATATGATGATGCTTGTCATAGTAGAGCAGACACAATATAAGATGTAAGATATCATATACACAAGCAATCTATCAAATTTCAATAGATCCACACAAACAAGAGAGTATAACCAAATCAACAGATACAACCCACTCTCTAGCCCTATTCATTAGGCCAAACACATATCTCAGATCAGTCACATAACTTAGATAATCATATATCTCATGTCAATCTCGCATCTCAAGTAATCACATAATAGTCAAGGTATCACAATATTCAACTACAAAAGGGTGACCCATTGCGTAGTACCCATATAGATCTAGGGGGGGCCACGACACTCCCAAATATTCACATTCACTTCTTGACCCTCGTCCTATCATGGGGAGTTAGGGAAATATCTTGGCTGTCAGCATCATCATTTACACAGTAGGTGCTCATTCACATAACACATAAGCAACATGGTACCATCATTCACACAGTAGGTACCCATTCACTTAACACGTAAGCTACACGGTACCATCATTCACACAATAGGTACCCATTCACAAACACATAAGCAGCATAGTACCATCATTCACACAGTAGATACCCATTCACATAACACATAAGCTGTACGGTACCATCATTCACACAGTAGGTACCCATGCATATAACACATAAGTAGCACAGTATCATCATTCACACAGTAGGTACCCATTTACATAACACAAGCTACACGGTACCATCATTCACACAGTAGGTACCCATTCACATAACCCATAAGAAGCATGGTACCATCATTCACACAGTAGGTACCTATTCACAAAACACATAAGTTGCAAGATACCATCATTCACACAGTAGGTACCCATTCGCATAATACGTAAGCAACACAGTACTATCATTCACACAGTAGGTATCCATTCACGTAACACATAAGCTGCACAATACTATCATTTACATAGTAGGTACCCAATCATATAAGACATATCACATGGCACTTGCGTTAGAATCATGTACACATATAATTGAGCATGTCTCAAAGTCATGCACACACATCACCGAGCATGTCTCAAAATCATGCATTCATATCACAACAAGCATACATAATAATCATGCTTCCATATCATAGCAAAGCATAACTCTTTATCATGCGTTCATATCAGAATAGGGCATGTCCTACTACGTACATTCATATCATAATAGGGCATATCATGCACTCATTTATCATTAGCAACACTTTTGAGGCTTATATAAAACATCAGCAATTCATACATGAAATCATACCCCCAGGCCCATTAACTCAAAAGACATCATCATACAATTTTTTGGTTTTTCATAGTGCGCATAGTCTACTTCTAAAGACGTATTGAGAGATTCAAAATCCATTTGGACCTATGATCACTTTTATGACAAACTTGGCTCATAAAAACACAAATTTCGTGAAGAGCGAAACCCCAAAATTTGGCTTAAAGCTCATCAAACTGGTTGGTGTTCTTTGGATAAAGTTCCTGTCTTTGTAGCAGAAAATACAGTGTGATATACTCATAGAAATTGGGCATAAATTTCAAAATACATTGAATTTTAATATGTTTTTAAACCATTTTTAAAATAGACTCATAAATCTTTTATTTAACAATGGTTTGAGCTCATTCTGATATATTTTGGTCAGTTAACAGTTCCACACAAAATGCGTAACTGTTCTGGAAAGCTCTAGTCTTTACAACAGAAAACACAGTATGGCATACTTATAAAAGTTGGGCATAACTTTCAAAATACATTGAATTTTAATCTGCTTCCAAAAACTATTTTTTAAAATAGACTCATAAATCTTTCATTCAGAAGTAGTTTGAGCTCATTATGATATATTTTGGTTAGTGAAAAGCCCCACACAAAAATATATAAAATATCTGAAATTCTATTTCACAATTTTGGCATACTTTAGAAAATGACTAATAACATCCAAACTAAAATAGATATTAAAACAAGGTCTTTTCTATCTTAAAATAGATTCACATGGGTTCTTTCCCACCAAATTTCATAACCATCATAGATATTTTCAATACTCTACTTATCACATGAATACGAGTCACAATTCTGTAAAATACATAGCATAATCCCGTCATATCTCAATCTCATACATTCACATACATATTTACCATCACATCCATATTCATGCTTGGACTTCACACTTTGATGATCTAAATAGCATGCATCAAACAAAAGTAGGAAAACATGGAAGCTAGATCTACTTATCTACTGCAAAAGAAACTCCAAAGTCTTCCTCCAACTTCACCGTGACTGCCCAGCTCCACAGGCTAAGGTCTAAGCTTAAGGGATAAGGCTTGGAGAGGTCAAATGACAAAGGGAGGAGGGGTGAACGTGTGTGAGAGCTAAAAACCCTATTTCATGTGTGGTGGGGTGTATAGATAATCAACTATAGTGGCAGCTTGCGAAAGACAATTGGTGGTAGCAAGTGACAAGTGGCACCACACAAGTAACGGGTCGTATGAGGGAGGAGAGAGAGAAGGGCAAGCATGGGGACATTTTTATCATGGACTCAGCAAGCATGGGAGACAAACATCATTGTGGGTACAACAAGCCCTTGCCACTTGGCACACAGGGGGGAGAGAGAACAAGAGAGAAGAAAATCCCATAAACTACTATACACCACCCTCAGCGATGCTCCAGACGGCGTTGCATTCGTGGCGATAACACTCACAACGATACCCCAAATCACGCGCGGTGTTCGTCCTCCACTCACGCAGCGTTATTTCTTCCTGTGCACGACATTTCTCCCTTGATTGCACGACGATACTCCTCCACGCGCGTGGCATTACTCCAAATAGCACTTCCCAGGCTGGTCCGCTCTCTCTCCAATTGTCAGACGACGCTACCTCCCATCGTGCATGACGTTACATCTTACGCTCGCGGCGATGCCTCCAATCGCGCACGGCATTAGTCTTCTCCTTTAGCGTCGGGTGTGTGCTTCCTTCTCTCTACTGCCGTGAGTCTCTTAGTCCAGAAAATTGGGGTCCTTACAATTTGTTTGACCCAAATTTTAAAATATATACTCTTTGCATTCTAAATAAAAATCACAAAAAGAAAAATTTGAGAACACAACCTAAAAATTGTTTTTTTTAGCCTAATTAACATAGGCATTCTATTTTGGTGAGATGCGTAGATCTAAGTCTTAGAAGGATCTTTTTTCTTTCCAAAATTTTTAGATAACTTTATTATCATTAGATTAACAACGTTAAAAAAGAAAATTTTGATTTTGAATTCATAGAGGCCTAGATCTTGAAATTCACGAAATAAACAGTCCGGAGGATACTTATTTTAACCATGAGTAATGATCCTATAGGATCCTCCCCACCCATGTGTGTAGGAAACTAAAGGATCAGCATTAAAGTTGACATGAAACTCTAAAAAAATTATCACATGGTGTGAGACTTGACTTTTCTATAGATCCATGTCAAATTTAATGGTGATCTTTTGGGGTCCTACACCCATGGGTGAGGGAGGGTCCTATAGGATCATTTCTCTTTAACCATATATAGGGTGATTTTTTTTTTTTCCGATTGATTAATGAGATGAAGAGAGTGTGTACAAAATTTTAGATTTTACAAATACCACAAACATGGTTTTCTAGAAATGTGGTTTCATTATATTACAATGGCATGGTGACATGATATCAATTCCTTTTTACTAAATACGCAATAGAACCTTGAAGTTCCAACACCCGGCTCTCTCAACAGTAATGGTATCGATTCAGTGACCTAAAAAGACCTTCACAATATTATTAATGTCGTGATAATTCAAGGTTCGTTGGATTATCATGGCACTAATAGTATTGTGATGGTTGACATTCTTTGCTGCACATCACAAACCATCATGGTACTAATCAAGATTTGAAAATCGAGTGATTCAGATAGGAATTGATTTCGGATAGAAAATCTTCGATGGCAATCCGGATCCCACAATATATCAGGATTCGGCCATGTCAAAACAATCTATTATGATGAAATTTTGAGATGCACTTTAATTCTACATTTTAAGATTGCAATCTTATATAAATTTTTTCAATGAATGAATCAAATCGAGCAAATTTTCATCATTTAATTGTTTGGACATTCATTTATTGATAAACACAAAATTACATTTTAAGGGTCAATTCTTTTTACCTAGAAATTCTACCAGAGAGATGGAGAGTGTAATTGCTGTAAATTGAAATTGAATCAATAAAGTTTTACTTCTGTTTAGAGAGAGAGAAGAGGGTTTTCCCAAAGTAATGCCAAAAATTAACAAAAAAAATGAAAATTTAGCTCCTAAATTGCGTTGTCCATGAAAATTAGTAAAACACACAATAATTCATCTATGATTCTAGACCCAAGTAAAAAAAAGGAAACATTCTGCAGATTCAAAAGCTCAACAATTTTTTAGAAAAAAGCCAACGAAGAAAAGAAATTGATTAAAAAGTGGAAGCATATGAATCAATGGCGATGGAGAGCTCTATCAGGTATGCAATTGAGCATTTCAAAAACCCACATAAAGGGATTTTTGTATATTGATATGCTCTAGAGAGAGAGAGATATTGATATGCTTTAGAGAGAGAGAGAATCACACCATGAATATATTCAACTCCCTGTTCTGAAGCCATGTTCATGACCACATCCTTGAGCTTCTATCTTTTCCTATTCTCACCAAATTCATACACTGAAAAACCATTTCACCCATAATGACCATTTGATATGAGAATGAAGATTCAGACCCCAATTCCCACCTTTTTAATTCCTTTCAGTACATCAAATTCCTTCTCTTCCCAACTAATAGCACCATCAACCGCTCTCCAACAAATTGCATTTGAATTGAAAGTTTGCTCTTCAAACAATGACCTCCAAAAGGGACTGTATCTCCACACCAAGATCTTCAAAACTGGCCTATTATCTGATATTTTCACAAACAACTTCCTTCTAAACATGTATTCAAAGTGTGCCACTATTCTCAATGCCCAACAAGTCTTTGATGAAATGCCCCAAAGAAATGTGGTCTCCTACACTTCCCTAATGGATAGTTACATTAAGCACAACCAACCCAAGTCAGCAGTTCAGTTATTGGGCCCAATGGGCCTAGAAGGAGTGGGGCCAAATGATTTCACATTAGCCACTTGTATTAGCGCTTGCGCCCGCCTGGTGGACCCCACTTTAGGCTCCGGGCTCCATGCTAAGGCCCACTTACTTGGTCACGTGGCAAACTCAACAGTTGCCACCTGTTTAATTGACATGTATGGCAAATGCGGGCAGGCCCATGAGGCCCAACAGGCCTTCGGTGAAGCCCAGGCCCGCAATGTTGTCACTTGGACGGCCATGATCGCAGCCTATGTCCACGCTGGCCATTGGATGGATGCCATGTGTCTATTTTCCAATATGCCCTATGAGGGGCCAATGGCCCCTAACCAATTTACCTTTGCTACCATTGTGGGGGCATGTGCCAGTGGGGCCCGCCTTGCTGCCGGAAAAATGACACATGCTGCCCTTTTACGGCGATCTTTTCATCGAAATGAGGTTGTCTCGTCTTCACTGATCGATATGTATGCAAAATGTGGTTGCATTGCCTCTTCTATTCGAGTTTTCAGGGCAATTAATGGGGACCCATCTGTGATTTCATGGACTTCCATCATAGTTGGGTTGGCCCAACACGGCTGTGGCCTAGTCTCTCTCAAGCTCTTTGATGAGATGCTAGAGAGAGAAGCCAAACCTAATGATGTCACATTCTTAGGTGTACTATATGCTTGTAGTCATTCGGGGCTGGTTGATGAGGGCTTGAAACACTTTGAATCAATGGAGGCTTTACATGGGGTTGTTCCTGATGCTAAGCATTATACTTGTATGGTGGACTTGCTGGGAAGGGCGGGAAGGCTCGATCAGGCTTATGAATTGATCAAGAACATGACCATAGAACCAGATTATCTTTCTTGGAGTTCTTTGTTATCGCATAGTAGAATTCATGGTAGGTTCGATTTGGCGATTATGGCTGGAGAAAAGCTCATCGAATTGAACGAACAGGTTGCTTCAACTTATGTTATGCTATCAAATATGTACGGTAAGATAGGGAGATGGGATGATGTTAGTAGGATTAGGAGAGAGATGAAGAGGCTGGGGATCAAGAAGGAGCCTGGTTGCAGTTGGGTTGAGATCAAAGACAAGGTTTACATGTTCTTTGCAGGGGATGAGATGTTTGAGCAGAGAGAAGAAATAGAAAGAGTACTGAGGGAATTGGAGAAGAAGATGAGAGATAGAGGGTATGTAACAGATCAGAGTCTGGTGTATTATGATATTGAGGATGAGGCCAAGGAGATGGTTCTTGGTTCCCATAGTGAGAGGTTGGCACTGGGTTTTGCATTGGTTAGCAGCACGGCGGGGTCTACAATTAGGATTATGAAGAATTTGAGGATGTGTGGTGACTGTCATGAGGCATTCAAAATCATGGGAAACATTGTTAGGAGGGAGATTATAGTGAGAGATGTGAATAGGTTTCACCATTTTAGAGCTGGTGTGTGCTCTTGTGGGGATTACTGGTGATGTGTGACCACATATCATATTATATGAGTTTTAGTTGGAATGGATTGGATCATTTTTCAGGACAGGAACTGGAAAGAGTGTGGTCGCAATTGAATGGAGATAGGGAAGAAGGTTTGAAGCCGACCCCAAATAATTGGAAAAAGGCTATGATGATGATGAGGAGGAGAGAAGAAGATTTGACATGTTCCTTACAGGAGTGAGAGGTGCATGATTTGTAGGCTATGCTATATGGAGAGAGCAAAAATGGCAGAAACAGTGTGCATGGCTGGTAAGATATGGTGTTCAATGAGATTGATGATGAGACCAATGAACTGGTCCTTGGGTCTCAAAATGAGAGGTGGGGTAATGGGTTAAAGCTGATTGGTATTGTTGAAGAGTTCCCCGACATCAGGGATATATGAGGCATCCAAGTCATTGGGGACACGGGAAACTGTAGAAGAGATCCTAATGAGGTTCATCATTTTTAGATTTGGTAAGGCTCATGGTTGGGTTTGGGAGAGAATGCTCGAAAATATTTTCGCCATTTGTGAGGTGTGAATAGGTTACATCCCTCTTATTGTTAGGATTTTTTTTTTAGGTGAGTCTGATAAGGGGAGAGGGTCCCTACCCTTTGGTAGAAATTGAGCATATGGCGTAGCGTTGCAAATGTCAAGGGCTAGCCAATTAAGCCCGGACTCTTTTTCTCTTATTGTTAGGATGTGCTTGAAGTGGTATTAGTTCTTGAACTGGATCTCTGCCCTGTGATCACTGTAGATGATCCAGTTTTTGTGAGATATGATAAAATTTCACAATTTTAGAGAGGGTTTATGATCAGTCTGAGTAAGGGTTACGAAAGCCACTTTCAAGTTGATTTTGTATGTAGTGTCGTAGAAGGTTATGAACCTCTAATATGGATTGATATTAACTTGGAGTTTTCATACGATCTGGTGCACTAATGCTTGGTTTATTACATTTTATTCTTTGAAAAGTAATGCTTGGTTTATCACACTTAAACACCAGTATTTTCATTGGCATTTTCAACTGTCAAATGTTTGGACCCTCTTGAATTTCATAAGCATGCCTAGATATTTGACATATTTGTAAGAATTGGTATGATTTGGCATCACTACATGGAGTTCACAAGGATCATCACCATCAGTAGGAAAAATCAAATTGGAAATGGTTAACCATACATGAGGCCGGAAGCAGTTCTACCAGCCTAACCGGTAAACCCACCGGTTCAACGCATCTAATCGGGCGGTATTAAAAAAATAAAATAAAACATGAAAAGTATATTTAAATTATTATTAGACAAAGCATATCCAAATGAAGTTAAAAATTAATGAAAAAATAGATTTTAAATAGTCGATTTGTGCCCAAAGGCATTTTTTAAATTTTCCAAAAATAATGGGAAAATGTAAAGATAAGTACTAATAGACAAAACAATTTGCAATCTTTGCCAAAATGATAAAAATATTAAAAAATACATTACAAACAAAACCTCTTATGTTTTGGAATTTATGAAATTTTTTTGAATTTTTTTAAATTACCCGACTGGTTCATCAAAACCGGTCGAAACCAGAATTGGCCAATGACCAATTCCGATCTAACTGGGTCTAACCAGGCCGTTATAATTTAAAAGTTGACCATGCCATACTGTTCATAATATTATGAGACATGTTCACGCTTATTTTGTTATAATTGATAGGATATTAGGAGCCTTAGCTTTGTTATGTGGATTCTTGGGCCTTAAATCTTTAGTTCCTTCATTCAAATCCGAAGTATATAAAAATCACCCATGTGTAATTCATGCCCAATACTAGACCAAGACTTCGACAAAAAGAAAACAAGAATTGACAAAAATGAACCCATGAGATCCCATCTTATAAAAAAGTGTAGGAACCTGATCTCCATTGTCAATTGGCTCCAATGGACGACGGAGATTGTCCATTACCCGGTCAAAAGCAAGCCAGTGTCTGATATATGAACCATGCTCACCGTCCATGGCAGGCCACCAACGATGGAGATCAGGGTCCTACACGTTTCGTGTATGAGTAGGTATCGTACTGTCATTCTCCTTAAAAAGGTATTTAAATGGAAAACCGATCTGAGTGTTTTAAATATTAAACTTTCCAAAACAACATTACTGCTTTTTTCTTTTGTTGCTTTAGGTTGTTAATAATTGGAATACTTAGGGCCATGTGGACAGATTACAGTAAACGAAGTCGAGACAAGAGTTCTCATGGAAGGTTTAAAGATAATAAAGAATCTTGAGACTTAAACAATGATTGAAGGTGATTCAAGCAATGTCATTGTTTATGCAAAAAGAGAAATAAAATTTCATTGGAAATTATGCACCATTTTTTACGAAATCTTTTTCATTTTAAGTAGTGGTTCTTTTGAGTTATATGATTGTTTTTGGAAGACTAATATGAAATCTGATGCTCTAGCAAAATGCAGTGTGCACCAATGAGTATTGAATAATTTGACTTACGAAAAATAATTGGAACACTTTCCTAGTATAAGTTCCACTTATGAAAAGCATTTGGTGAGTATTGAATCATTTGTCTGGCTTTTTTTTTCTTTTCATTTACTCCGACCGGAGTACCCTATCTATCTACTCCCTCATGTAAAACTCTTTTTAGATTTAATTTTAGGACGTCAAATTCTTCAACCTTTAGATAAGGAAAATGTTGGTGCAGCCCATTAGCCGGCAACTACATATGAGCCTAACAATCCAAATTCAATAAAAGTTAGTTTAATGATCACGATTGTATTTCGTATTTTAATTTTAATTTTTTTTATATAAATCCAAATCACTTAAAATTTTGATCATGTATTCTATAAAAATAGAAGAATCCAATAAAAATATAAAAAAAAATTGGAAAAATAATTTGATCAAAATACCTTCAAAACTTTGTAGGGGTATTTTGATCAATTTATATTTTAAAAATTATTTTTTTTAATATTTTATTAGATGCGTCTTGATGAGAAGAATAGATGTATAAAATTTCATGTGATTTGGATTTGTAGAAAAAAATTAAAATTAAAATACAAAATGATATCGTATCCGTCAGATCAGCTCAGATTCAATTTGAGCTGTTGGGTTCATACGTAGCAGTAGGTTAGTGGGCCTACGCCAGCATTTTCCCTTAGATAAAATTCAATGAAAGATATCTTATAATTGTACCTTCTATGCACTTGAAAAAAATAATATTTTACTATCGAATAGAAACCATCCAATTTTTAAAGCATGAGATCTAAGTGTTAGGAAATTTAAAATTCAATATATTTTTTCATATTAGTAATCTAGTGATTCTTAAGGAATTTCCAAGATTTTAGATTGAAAAATTCTTTCAAGTCTTCAAATCGAGGGAGTAGATGTACTACATTCCCGCAGGCATGCTCATAATTATTATTAGGATTTACAAAACTAATAATTTGCATACTGAGATAATGATGATGATATAAAGTTGCAAATTAGTATAAGATCAGGTTTATAGGGGTGAGGTTCGTATTAGGTGTCAACCTTATAGTATTGAAGTAAGGTGCACTTTAAAACTATGTTGAAAATGTAGTTTACATGCAGCAAAGCCTTGTAATGATATGAAAATCTATTGTTGCCCTCATTTATGAAATTTAAAGTTCCAAAAATAGTAATTATAAAGCAGATATATAAACACTTAAAAATGAACGGTCCAAATAACATGTTCGAAGATGAACTATTTTTAAGACTAGAAATTTTTTTTTTTTTTTCATTTTTATGAATTACGAGGTTGAGATGACCGATTTGAGGGTTTTAAGCATAAGGACAACCTTCTCTAATAGGTTTTTTAGGTGCACCTTACTCGTATAGTATAAAGTTGACACCTTATATAAACTGTTTCCAACCAATGAGTTTGTCAAAACGATAATGGTGTTGGTAAGTGTAGACGTCCCAGCTTGGGGAATGAATCTCTAAAAGCTCTTACCCTTGAGACCTGGACCTAGATCTATTCGGATCCGAAAATGATATACAAAATAAAAAATTATGAGCCATCCTATCCAGATCTCACAGTTAAAAGCCAACTTGAGATATTATGACTCAAGTTATCCCAGCCATCTACTCAGATCTGACGGCTGAGATCAAAGATGACAAGTATTATATATGTGAGTGGGGTTACATAGAAAGTTTTTTCTTCATTATTAAAGTGAAGAAAGTATGTGCACAAAATTTGAGATGATACAAATATGATTTTATTATAATATAATGACACGGTAACATGTGTCATTTGTATGAAACTAAATTTTGCATACACTCCGCTCATAATCATTTAAATATTATTAAAATTAATAATAATTTGAAAACAAGAAATATTTTATAACTAGATAATAGAATTTATTGCAATGCAATTTTTTTGTTCAAAAGTTTTAGGTCAATCAATTTCTAATAAGAAGATTATTGGAACAGAGCATGCGATCTCAGCCGTTCGACGAGCATAGATTGATAGATTGAATCGGGACCCTTGGACATTACAAACAAAAAAAAATATGGGGAGAGAATAACGAAGGGATAGGATTTGTTTTACAAAATCAAGGACAAAAAGGGGTTAAATTAATTAAATGCCGGGTCACGTGGGCGCATCTCTAGTTTTTACGCGTGCGTTTTTGTTGGGTGTTCTTTTCCTCAGGTGCCCTGCATTTACGTGGCGCTCCTATGTGTGGTCCATGCACCATGAACCCTTAACTGAACACTCTCTCTCTATAAACTTCGATCCAGTGAACTCTCTTTCTCTCTCTAAACGTCGATCCGGTGAACTCTCTCTCTCAATCCAGTGGACTCTTTCTCTCTAGAGTCTGAGTTTCTCTCTCCATTCTACCTTTTGCTCTTCTTCTCTGCACTTCTTCTCTGCATTCCATTTCTCTCCTCTCTCTGCGTTCCATCCCTCTCCTTTTAGTAGAAAACATGGAGGAAACGATAGCAGAGGCTGAGGACACAGGGGCAAATAAGCACTTGAGACTCCGGCGCCTTGATTCTCTTGAACTTGAGTCTGCGAACCTTTCTGAGATCGATGGCGGCTCCAAGGTAGATTTTCCGGCATCTCGCCGTTTTCTCTCTATTTTTTCTCTTTCTCTCTCGCATATTTTTTCTTTTATTGTCATCGTTATGGTCTGTTTTTTCTTGCTCTTGTGATTTTTCAGACACAAATCCTATTTTCAGATGAGTTTTGTTGCAGGGTATTGAAAGTCATTATGGAATGTCTACAAGTTTTTATTATTTTGGAAGAGATTCCATTTAGGGTAATTTGGGGGTATTAAAGAAGAGGATTTGATCTGATTGATGCAATTCTAAACCAGTAAATGTTGTTATTTGGACAAATGTTTAAGAACATATTTGTTAATTTTCAACTTTTGATTATGGAAAGGGATATGACCATGTCGAAATTGTGCTGAACTTTTTTAATCCCTCCATCTATTCTGGGCGGCCCAAGTAGGTGAACCGGGGTGGGAGGTGTCTGAAAAACTATCTTAAGTCCAAATTATACTTAAAAAAATACATATTGAGGTATTTTTAATACATTTTCTTTTATGTTCAATCAATCTAAACTCTAAAGACAAACCAAAGTATTTGAGATTTGAACAATACGTTAATAACACATTAAAAAAATACAAAAACATAATCCGACATTCAAATTCAGTTCTAGACTACTAGTAGACTAGACTACTAGTACTAAGTACTAACAAAATCATAAGGAAAATATAATAGTCATATAGTAAGAAAACTCACAAGTCATAATTCATAATTCACAAATCATAAATTATAATCCAATTAATCCATACTCCATTGTCCAAAGCCCAACCAAACACCATAGAGCAAATTCTTAGTAACTCATACACATAATGACACAACACATAGTGCATAGTCCATTAACTCCATACCATTACCTTG